TACGTCAAATATATCCGATATGTCATATACGTCGAATCTATCTAATATATCCTATTTGTCGATCATGTCAAATATGTTATATATGTCAGATTTGTCGATTATGTCAGATATGTCATATATGTCAGATTTGCCAGATTTGTCGATCATCTGCGCCACGTAGGTCCTATCATATTTTATTCGTTCACAATATCTTTTATAAACTGCTTTACTTAAAATTACTATAATCTAAAATACAATGAGCCTCATCAATCACAAAACGCACTTTTGATTTGTTATACATATTACTAATAAAAGATTGAAATTCTTTATTCAAACAAAGTTTTTCAGCTACAAAAATCACTTTTGTAAATCTAAGAGCAATTTCTTCAAAAATTTTGCATTGCTCATTTCTGCCTTACGCTGTATTTGCGTAAATTGAAGCACAAGGTATACCAAGATTTATCAGCTCTTGCTATTAGTTAAAAATAAAATATTAGAAATAGCTTTAAAATTCAATTATTAAAACAATATTTACTTTTGGTCTTTCATTAAAGCTTTTAATGAGCTAATAACTATTGTTATCCCTTCAAAAAGTAATGCATAAACTATATAACAAAATGTTTTTCCTCCTCCTGTTTTGATTAATACTAATGTATCTTTACCACTTAAATATGTTTCTACTGTTTCAAGTTGTCCCTCTTGTAGTTGATCAAATCCAAATATTTGTTTTGATGCTAATAATATTATTCCTTTTAAATCCAGAAAATTCCGTTTGTTAGAAACAATATAACTTTTATTTAACAAGCATTCTCCCCAATCCATTAAAATGTAAAATAAGCATAAAGAGCAAAAACCAGTCGCAGTCTTCTTACGAAATGCGGAACAACCTTGACACTTAATAATTGTATCAAAATCTGAAATTAATTTTGCAAAGGAAGGATAGAATGCATTGGTTCGTATTCTTTCCTTTGCTTTACATTTATATGAAATTAATTCCTATACAAAAATATGCAAAATATTGAGTAAAAAAGGAAATATAAAAATTCAAATTTAAGACTAACCTAACTAAAATCAAAGCCTTGCAATTCTTGACATTGATTAGCATAATTTACAGCACGTTCTTGATTACGCTTAATTATAATATTTTAGTTACAATGCAATTGTTTTTGACATTCTCCTGCAAATTTAGCTATATTATACTGATCATGTAAGCTGAAATTGTATGACAGCAAGGCTTTACGCACAGTTTCCATCATATAATAGAGATCTTCATTATTATCTATAATAGCTAATGCATGACATACTTTATAGGATGCCCAAAAATCAATTCTTTTATCAAGAAATAGCAAGATTTTTCGGTTAAAAGCTTCATTATAAGCTGTTCTGTATTGAGTAACTAGACTTTGTTGTATTGGAATTTTAAAAATTATTAGAAGCATTTGTCAGAATCTTTCAATTTCTGCCTGTGTAAAAGATTATAATATAGGAGATTGCAATTGTAACTCTTCATTTCTTTATACCAACAAACTTCTTTCCAACAGATATCATGATTGTTAAGCAGATGTTAAATTAAACCCTCAACTTGAATATGACGAAGCTCTTCATTTGTTGGTGTATCTGAATCATTATTCTTTTTTTTTAAACCAGTAGCAAAGACACATCCATTAAAATATCTCATTATATGCTATTCAAAACTGTGATAACACGCATATTGCCTTTTTACTATTACAAAATGAATAAAAAAAAATAAGTAAATTTAAAATAATAATAATTATTAATATAATAATAATTATATACTATATAATACATAAGTTTTTTCAGATATTCTTGCTCACATGCTTAAGATCTGCATAAATTTCTGTTACAACAGAAACATTGGTTAAGGTTTTGTTAGAGTCTAAATCTCCATCAATACAAACTTCAAGTAAAAGATTGGATACTTCTAATATTGGAGTAATCTATTCTAAGAATGCAATCAATATCGCATGTTTCATTTAATGAGAACTAGCATCAAAATTACCCTGTCATACTATACTTTTTTCTTTGGATCCATCTTTTCCTTTTTTAGTAACGATACGAACCTTTCAACTAAATGAAAGGCAATAACTGCTTTATGCTCATAACCTAATATATAAAAAAAATAGAATTAGATACATTAATATGAATATAATATAATCAAAATTTTCTATTATAGCTTACCTCTAAGATCATCTAAGTAAATTAATTCTCCACTAGCTTATCCTGCATTGCAAGAATGAGATCACGAACAATCAAACCCAATAGATAGAAATTTTTTTCCTAAACTATTAGTATGAGCTATGACAGTATTTAATGCTTGTTTAGAAAATTCATTTGCTTTTGATATAATGGTAGGAAACATCCTGAGATTGGTATTGATGGTATGATTGTTTGCAAATTTGTGTAGTTATATCTGTTATTGCTAATGCAGTTTGCATAACACAATGATTAAGATCACCAGCTAAAGTTGCAGCTGCAATAAGATGCGAAAAGTTAACTCCTTCAGATTGATTAGAAAATGAATCAATTGTTTCACACACTCGACAATCTACATCAATAGTAACTTTAAAGCCAACACAAGAAGTATGATAGGTTTTATTCTGAATATTAATATTATGATAATGACTACAAGGATTCGAAAGTACAAGAGAAAGGTATTGTTCTGTACTAATAAAAATTACAGATCCTATTTTTTTTTCATTTAAAATATTATTTACTGACATTCTTATTTCTTCAAAATTTTGTTTTAAATTAATTTCACCAGATAAATTTGATCCACTCTCTTGAAGTTTTGTAATTTTTGTCTTTAACTGTTTAACATTACAATTAGCATTATATAATGCTAATTTATTTTATTCATGCGCTATCATAAGAGCTTGAACAGATTTTGGAACAATATTTTTTCCACATTCCTCCAATCTTATTCCACAAATAATAGAGCCCATTTTATTATCAATTTTTTCAAGTTCTTCGCTTTTTCTTTTAAGACTGTTAATTAAAATTCTTTCTTTTTTAGTTTGATAGGAAAAACAATTGGAAAAAACTTCATGAACCGCTTTTTGTAAAATTTCTATAATATTAGGTTCATTAAGTCCTAATAGCGAAGCGAGTGAAAAGTTTTTTACATTATATTGCTTTAGCATTAGATAAAAATCCAATTTTTTTGACCCTGAGCGTTATAATTAGTAAACGTAAAATCCTTGCCAAAGTCTTGCCCAAAAAAATCCAAAGAATTCTCTTTTTTTTTAATAGAAAATTTAAAGAAATTCTCAACTAAAGAGGTATATATAACATAGCCTGGCAATAATAGAACCCACAAACTTTTGTCAAGAGTTTTGTTTTGTAAACGCATATAACCAACATCCTTATTTTATTGTAAGATTTTTTCGAGGTTATAATAGTAGTTTTTTGGTAATAGAAACTTCGACAAGTTTTTATGAAGAGATAATACTTCAAATTTGGAAAGCACTTCAATAACAAACCAGCTCTTATTTACTCTTTGATAACTTTTGTAATTGAAAAAGTCTCTTTGAACAATAAGGTTATATCAGTTACGTATCATAATATTATAGGCTTGCTTTTGTCGGTCAGTGCAATAAAAATTGCATTATTTTTTAAGTCATTAAATAATAAATATTTTATTAGTCAACTTTGAACTTTACAAAAAGAAGCATATGGAAAGTATATTCAAATTGCTATTGAAAATGATATAAGGTGGAATAGTCATTATGAATGTTTTTGTACTTTAATTAAATCAAAAGCAGTTTACAGATATTATATACTTTTTTTTATTTATTTTTAAAAATAAATTTATTTTAATAATTTTTTTATAACATAAGACTTTAGGATCAAAATTTGAACTTTCTGAACAATTAACATCTCATCATCATCCTAACGATCCATTATATCTTTCTGTTAAAATTGCGTCTATTTTACTTGATGAAAATTGGTGGTAATTACTTTTAGAACTGGTTAAATTACTTAAACCATATTGTAAAATTTTAAATATTTTACAATGTGATAAAACAAGGTTACATGATATGTTACATAGATTTGAATTTTTTGTAAAATTTTGGAAAAATTATGATGATTTAGAATTTGGAATAAAGATGCTCAATCGTCTTCAAAAAAGATGGCAAAATTAGGAACAACTACTATTACTTTTATCTTGGCTTTTATATCCTAAATATAAAATAACAAAATTTAAAATTAATATTTTAAATTTAAATCATGTATATCTTAGCAAATGGTTAATTTATTATTATGA